CCCCCCCCCTTCTTTTTTTTTTTCCAGAAATACAACTAAAAAATTAAAGTACAGATCAAATTTCTAAAGAACTTGAAATATCATTTGTACTTTTAGTGGTTTGGCCAAACAGACTAATTTTGCTTTTAACAAATTGTCTCGTGCAAGGGGAAAACAAAACCAACAGAGTAACATTCCAGTAAGAGCTTATCACTGCTAAAACCAACACATGGTGGCACTTGACAGATAAACTCCTCCAAACAATTTGGAGCTAGTTTTTCTAGTTCTGTGTTGTCGTTTTGACCATGCAACATTATGATTACTGTGGATCAAGCTATTATTTGCATGGTCTTCTCCAAAAATCTTTCTAAGCCTACTTGCCTAAAGACTGTGCATTGCAGGTTTGCAGAAAAGTTCCAGAATGAACTCACAATTCCCAGACTGAAGAAAACATGGTCCAGAGAGGTGTTAGTGTCATTAGCTTCCAGCTGGTACTCAACTCACTTGCAGTAGTGGGGCCAAATTGGTATAAATGATACAAGGAAAGGGCACAGCCATTGCTGTTACTGTCAAAGGAGGGTCATTCTGTAGCGGCCTAAGTGCTTTAAGAGCAGGCCAGGGCTCAAGAGCCCTTGAGATCCTGTTTCCAGCCATTCACCACTCACCCACATTAGGAGGTGTAAGAACACAGTAAAGGCTGTTTCTCCATGGGGAGCACCATACACACGAGCTCTTCAGCAAATGTAACCACCAAATCAACATGGAAAGCAACTCTGAATCACACAATGTATATGTAAAGTTGTGCGTGTACAAGGCACTTTTTCAAATATGCTCCTGTTTAACGGGGCATGTTTAACTTTTTGTTTTCTTCCTTTGGGACCACATATGCAGCCCACCTGCTTCAACACTCAGGATGTGCTTGTGCTGAAGTCAGCCACCTTGTAAGGACTCTCACAGCATCCAGGGCTTACTCAAGACTGGCTGTCCCGGGCCTGGTGGCATCTCAAAACAGACAGATCCCTCTCCTAAAACCTCCACACAGGTACTCAGAGATAGAAATCTCTGACCTCAACAATGGCCCAGCCCAAGGTGAGGACAAAGGTATAAAGTTATCACAAATAACAAAAAGTTATCACAAATTCACTATTGAACCAGGAAACACTCAGCAATGGCAGTTTACTGTAGACAAAACCCTGCAGTGATGGTGCAGGTTGTCACCATCATTGGGAATTACTATAGGAATGGCTGTGAAGACACCTACATAAAAAAGAAAATTGATAATTAATTTTTAAAGAATACAGGAAAAAAAGAAGAAATCGAAATACATTAGCTATGCCATTTACCAGCTTCTCAGTCAGCAATCAGAATTGGCCACAAGGCAAATATGTAGTCACCCACTTTTCCATACTTTTTTGATACTTTAATCTCAATCTACAAAACATGAGCATGTAAGCTATACTTTTTTGTCTTTGCTGTTAGAAATTCAGACTTACTCAGTTGAATTAGACCGTGGCCTAAATCTTTTGCCTTTGACTTTCTTTCTGTTTCCTCCTATATTACCTGAAAGAGACCAAAGGGTAAAGACACACTGTATAACATCCTGAAAGTCACCTGCATTACATTCCAAACTCTAAGTATTCTTTACATTCATAGTAACAGGGTCATATTATTAGCTTTAGCCATTTAAAAATCATCATTCCCTCTGGATTTATCCCAGCCACAGAAATTTTTGACACTTAGGTGACCTTTTGTTACCTTTTGCTGCAACTGTGCAAGCCAAAGACATAATTTCAGCTACTATCTGAGAAACCACTTAAAGAAAAATGCACAATAAAATCATAAAAGCTGGAAGAGTGAATGAAAATCTTCCTCTTTTTCAGATTAGCTCACACTATAGGAATGGTAAAAATTTGGAAATGCAATTTCTACACAATAACACACTATGCAAAAACTGTACTTGTGTAAGACACTACTAAATTCCCACTCCAGGTTAATAATAATACAAACTTAAGAAGTCAGGCTGCTGTCCAAAGACCAACCCAAGTTTCAGCAGAGCAGAGATGACACAGGTTGGTTTCCACTGCCAAGCGCACTCAGGTTCACACTTACCTTGCCAAGAATTACTCCTAGGTCTCCCATTTTCACAGATGTCTGAAATATGTTTCGTGTCTGGGATCCTTTCACTCCAGGAATGAGATAATCCATTTGACCTGGAATTGGAGGGCTCAGATGCCGTTACTGTTAAGGGCATTTGCTCATACGAATAT